TGGTAGAGCGCTCCACCTGTAACGGAGAGGTCCCTGGTTCGATACCCGGCCCAGGCGGATTTTTTCGGTCGCTCACCAGTCACCTAGCTGTGTTTGGAGATTTATGTTTGTCCTTTGTCCCTCTTCTTCCCCTTCTCCAGGGATTATTTTCATCATTCTTGTCCAGCTCGCTTGCACCTTTGCATTTAATTGCATTATAATTACAACCTTAACTTGCAAGCTTCACCCTTGTTGGTGTTAGACTGGTGGCAACGGATAAAACCCGTTTGCTCTACTGACGTCTAACCCCTGGGTAGCTCAGTTGGTAGAGCGCTCCACCTGTAATGGAGAGGTCCCGGGTTCGATACCCGGCCCAGGCGGATTTTTGCGGTCGCTCACCAGTCACCTAGCTGTGTTTGGAGATTTATGTTTGTCCTTTGTCCCTCTTGTTCCCCTTCTCCAGGGATTATTTTCATCATGGTCCATTTTACCACGGATTTTTGTCAATAAAAATGTAATCAATTACAGTAGAGTCATTGCGTAAATGAGTAAGGAATTTACTTTAAGATTACTCTAAAATATTTAATTATTTCGTTACAAATTACTGGAAAGTATAGGGGATTACAATTAATTTCGCCATTTGTAACGGATTACGTACAAGTCTACTTCCCGGTTTGCCCAGTTTGCTTAAAGCATTCGCGATAACTTTTTGTAATTATTGAGTAAGTGTCAGCAGCGTTGTTTATCTAGGTGTAAGTGAATATTACTTAAACATGCAGCGCCAATGCCGTGTATTTTGGTTCTGCAAAAAATACTATATTGCAAACTCCTTAATTGTGAATCGTTTTTTTTTTTTTTTTTTTTTTGCAATTCGTTGTCAAGTAGAACCATTTCGAAACGTCGTTCACACAAATTATGTTGCCTAAAATAACTTCATGGCGAATAATATTTTGGGTAGTATTAACGTTTGAAGTGCTTCCTGAGTACTATGATATTGTATATATTATTTTTATATCGTCTTTTATTTCCTTATGCTATGGCCTATGATGAGCTGTAGCACCGCACATAATTAAACCTGGAACGTTCTATCTACCGATTTTGTGCCTCGTAAAATGTAATACATTTTGGGACCTGACATAAAATCGCCGTCGATGTCGGATGCCTTTGGTATTCTTGTTGCTCAACCAATGTGTGCTTGTCTTCAAAATTGTTAACCTGTCGAATACTGATATACAGAATCTGCATGTACAAGCTTGTGTTTTCTATTAAAATTATGTATTCATTTCTGATGGATGATAATTTCTAATTGCCGTTCAATTATTTGTGTGACTGAACTGCGACCTAGTGGTGTGGTCGCCAGTTTTTATATTTATATATATTCAAGTCACGGCTAACTACTGAACGCCTGATTCGGATATCCTCGCCATATCTGGGAGGGTGCGGGGGATCGTCAAGCCTAATCAGATGGTATACAATGTTTCAAGAAATGTTTTGTTAGATACAAAAGATTCTGAGGCTTAATCTCCTCGGTTGGAAAAGTTGCTTCAGTGCGCACTCGCGCGTGCACAGATAGAATTTTGTTTTTGTAATTACTTGGTTGTTGAATCTTGCCCTCTTCCACTGCTATTTACTCGCTTAAGTATATTGCTGTTAAAAAGATAAAGAACGGGCCTCGAAAATCACGGGGAACCGCACCGGCGCGAGCTGTTCCGGTTGCTAAATTAATACGGAGGAATTATAACCAATATCTAGATAGTATTGGCTACCAAGAAAGCGTTCTCCAGCACACCACACGTTTTCGGGTGCAGCTAGCATATAGACTATCCTAAACGACTAACGGGGTGTCAAATTTTTTTTTTATTTACTCTCATTTTAGGTAAATGCCGGCTCAACAGATAATGAGAAAATCAGGCCTGATTTTCTTTGCCTCATGGTATAGGACAACACGAAACGTGCGGTTCTATAACCAAGTAGATTTTCTTGAAACTTGACATTACTTAACACAAAGTAGTATAATTTATCACCAACGGACGCTCCGCAGAGCAGCCTTCTTTTATGTGGGCGGAGATTTGCTTCTTGTGGGCAAATCCTCTCCTGGAGATCGTTTGTTGAGACAGAGCATAGTTGCCATAGCCTTCAGTGATCCATGCACATACGGCCAACATAATTAAACTTATAATAAACCAATGATTCGTGCCCACATAAATAAACCTAGATGTTAACGCACCAAACGTACGCCCACGCCTACTCAATCGTGTAGGTAACCTAACTAAGACATCTTCATATACAAATTAAGTTTCTTACAAAAACTAAATATGCCCCAAATTATATTACCTACAAATAGATCACGGAAGCTTAAATGCGATCCGACTTAAAATTCGGACCTTCCCGAAAATGCACTCACTCTTTGTGTGCGTAAATGTGCGCGCGAGTGCCCGCTGACCTATGCGTAGCACGTGTGCTAGCCAGCCCTCTATTGTTCACCCGCCGGAATAGGCAAAACTGTCAAAATTATAGCAGGTGTACAAATGAAAGGAAAACGTCAAATTTTCAACTATGAAAGCTACCAAGGATTTCATTTAAAAATCCCAAATTCTAGTGTATATATTAAAGGACAGAATTAGTTATCTGGGCAGAACGATTTTTCGCAGTTAGATGTCAATGCAAATAATATGGTTCAGCATCGGTAATGTGACAAGGAGACGGAGAAAGTGCCCCGCAGCCTATGGAAATACCTCTTAACATAAGTAGGGGCTGGCATGAGAATGCACACAAGTATTAATGGTAAGTTTCTTGCTTTCCGAGCACATATCTTGGAGGCTGTTTTTTTTACTTTAACAATAACCATATCACTACATGTCACACGGGGGCATAAGATGTGTTCGCGCAAGCTTAGCGCGTTGGTAGAATTTAGGCGTTTTTATAGTTTTAGTGAGACGCAATGTATAACAAGTGGGAGTTGTATTAATGCCTGTCTAGAGCGAACACAAATTTTGTCGGGTACGAAAAACATCGTGTTCATTGTGGACAGCCCTTTAGAGTTGCGCATAGCGGCAGTAGCCCCCGCAGTCGAGCCTCGGATGATATTCGGGTAGTGGCTTGTAACCAGTCGCTGCGGTTACGAGAATAGCCGCACACTAATAATTCCCGAAGGGAAGCATACGCCCCGTGCATTGCCAACTCCAGTGCATAAGCCGTGAAAATCATAACACTTATCGCTACATAAATTGTTCAGAAACTTGCTCAATGCTGCTTGCGCGAACAGGCGGTTTGATCTCGCGGTTCCTTTACAGGTCCTCTCCCGCAAGTCAGACACTAGATTAAGTCATGGGTTCGCACCATTTGCTTTGACAACTTTGTAAACTAACCATGATCGGGAGAATATAGTTGCATGTTCAAAGCGCGAACCTGGCCGTTTTTTTTTCTGCCACAGCTAGCATTTCTAAACAGAAACATGTCGAGTTAAGAACGTTGGCAACATCACGGATTTGTTATCAAGAATATTATGCGAAGCTAAAATGATTATTTTATATATCTTCAAATTAAATAAGCAATTTATCGTCTGCAACTGCCCTATGACAGTGTGTAATCCAGTTAACTTTCATATGCTAGCAAATATAGGAAAACATCCAGTTAACTTTTATATGCTACCCATTATAGCAGTCCAGCATTCCGAGCGTACTAGCTCATGCACAAAGACGTGTATGCTTACTTTTTTTTTTTTTACAGATCTCTAGGATTAAACTTGAACAAGCAAGTATACCGGCGAATCGCGACTTTTGCAGCCGGCTTTTGGTTTAACATTGGCTTCAGGATCAGTGACCGTGCTTAAGACAAGCGCGCTCGATATAACAACTTCTGCCCTCAGGCGTTTATGACCTGTTATGATTCGTTACGAAACAACAAAACGCCGTGCGTATATCAGTGCCACGCTGTCTACACGGAAGCGAACTAGGCTACGCGGTAGAGCGCGCCCCCTCTCCGGTGTCCCGTCACCCCGCAACGAAGCAGAGACCAGCCGCAGATGACCACACCAAGCAGCTGCAAAGCGAGCCAGAGTGGAATCAAGTGCAGATAAACCCATCGGTGTTTTTTTCTTCTTTCCCACTGCTCGTAGAGAACCAGCCGTACAAGCTAACAGCGCCATTGCGAATCAAGCATCGACTCAAAATGTCACCGAAAATGTTCAGAGAAGTCACATGACCCACAGTTCCTCAACGTCACCACGCAAATGTTCATAGAACCATGGCCCCTCAGGGACCTCATGCCTCGCCAAACTCATTAACTCACCGACGTCATTAACTCACAATGCTGATTTAACTCATGAACTCATCAAACTCGTGAACACACTGAACTCATAAACTCAGCGAACTCACGCCACTCACCAAACTCATAAACTCACGCTTTTCGCCGAAGTCGTGAACTCACCGAACTCACGCACTTCAGCGAACTCGTGAGCTCACCGAACTCTCAGCCCCCACCGATCTCACGTCCCTCACTCAACCTCAAACTCGCGAGTTTTTGAGGCTTGTGAACGCACTCAACATCACCTCATGCCTGATCAGTGCGGGTGACTGGGATGAGTGAGTGAGGAAAAACCCAGTCATGAGGGAGTTCTACCAAAATATGCGCTCAAGATAGATTCGAATCGTGGGTAGACGACTTCGAGCAATACTACGTAAAAGACAAGGCCTGCACATGACGTCATCGTGAAATGATACTTGGCAAGCCCCAAGCGGCAAACACAATTAAGCCCGACTAGAGACACCGCAAAGCGGAGGACGCGTCCGTCTTGGCGTAGACACATGCTCGCGTTGCGCGCGTAGTGAGAAGGTGCACGGCGCGCTGGCGGCTGATGTGGATCCACTAGTGATGACTTTTGAGGGGAGGGAACGGGGTGCAGTCCTTACATTTTAGGTGGTATTGCTTGGAGAAGCTTAGCAACAAGTTGACCACCCCTGCGATGCTTCCAAGCAGTTCATTGTTCATTAAATGTACAATATTATGGAGACCTCACAAACCTGGCATTCAAAGCGTGGGGCGTCATCACGGTGAACCACCACCAAGCCAACCAGGAGGGCGCCCGAGCTAAGCAGGCCCAGAGCCACCGCCACAGGACTCCAGAGAGGTAGCACCGTGTGCAAGAGGAAGGCGGCAACGAAGGCCGGCGGCAGCATGTGCCCAATGGATGCGAAGGGGGACATGGCCCAGAGCGCAGTCGGGGCCATCAGCAGGGCCCAGACGACCAGGCCCGGGCAGATGGACCATCGGGACACGAAGGTCTCTGCCGGCAGCAACGCCAGGGACACGAGGAGCACCAGGACCAGGCAGACGCACACGCTGAGCAAGGTGAAGTGGTACGAGGCCCTGTCGAAGTCCTAGAACAGGCGAGACATATATGATTCTGTGAAGTATATGCAAGATCTGTCTAGAGAAAAGCAGAAGTTAATTGGTAGATATTGTTCTAAAGGTAACCCAGGGTGCACTACGCCGTGATATATGTGCACTCGAGCCAAGAGTAAGTACGTTCACTTAAATCAGACTTCACTTCAGCATACTCGCAAGACCAAAACGACTTGCTTGTGGGTTAGAGTGGTGAGCGAAGTATTGCAAAAGCCTGATAGGAGCGTGGGACACCTAAAGGGGCGCGCCTCACATTGGCCGATGACCGGCAGCGACACCAACAATAGCGTCCGCGTTACGTCGCATAGTACGCTGCCCGCTCCCACCTCTTCTGATGCACCTGCGCGCCTTGGCCGCGTCTGTCTCTACCTGCGACCGCGCTTCTCAAGCTTGCTTCGGAGTAAAGGTTTGGAACCTTGACATTTGAAACTATTCGCGTCCAGAGTCGCTCTGTAGGTATTCTCCCGTCATTGGACTCGCAAGAGTTCCTTGGAGCTCGGGTTAAATTGTGTCCCTCGCAGTTATAAGCGGAAACGAAAGAAACACAACTTTCCCCCGTTTATTTGAGCTGGAATATGTATCTGCGAAGCGCTTGTGTGTTCGACGGTCCAGACGTCACTACGGTATGACATTCACCTGTGTTAATGATTTATAAAATATACATCAGCAGTATTTTCCGTTTTTCTTTTTGTCCGATTGCACTTCACTCGCTGGCGAATCAAGTAAACGTACTGAAATGGAGGTTATCGCGGATGTTTTCACCAGCGAATGAAGAAAATCCTTGTGGTCAATTTCTATCCCTGTAGTGTAATAATAGAAGTTAGCGCCTAATGTGGTTCCGAACGTTCTCTTTCGCGCTGTGCTCAGGAGAGCTGACATTGATTAGAAACCACGTTCGGTCGCTTCACACAATATTTATGCGAAATGCTTCTTCTAGGAGCCCTACTGTGACGCCACTGTCTTGTCGCACGCTATCAATAGCCAACCTGTTTAGCGTTGTTTTGGGTTATGGAAGATGTAGCGACGGGGGCGACGGCGAAGGCGGTGTTGACTTGCAGCCCGCAGAGCGGTGTGTCGTGTGGGAAACGACAGAGCGTCACCCCGCACACCTACTTTGTAAAGGAGTGTTTAGTTGAGAGTGGAAGTTGCTATAGTTTCTCAAAAAGGGCCCATTTTGAAGTATTTGCCTTTGTACCGGGACGTACTCGAGGGTTTCACATTTTATAGGGAACTTTTTGAGGAACTGCGTTTTCCTCAAAAAGTTCCCTTGCGAGGCGCGGGTGCCCAAATTTCAAAAGATGAACGAATGCATAAAAACGGCCGAACCACCCCACTTTGAGACCGGTTTTCTCAAAAACGACATGGTGCCATGACACCAGGATGTTCTCGAGGGCTCCACATTTTATATTCCAGCTATAGTTGAGAACGAGCTTGCCCTCAAAATGCTTCCTAGCGAGGCGCCGGTGCCCAAATTTCAAAAGAACGAATGCGTGAAAACAACTAAACCATCCCCAATTTCAGACCGGTTGTTTCAAAAAGGAATCATTGAGGAGTTTTTGCCATAGCGCCAGGATTGGCTTGAGGACTACATTTTATATTCCGCATATAGTTGGAAACTCGGTTGTTCTCAAAACGTTCCCTGGTGAGGCGCGGATGCCCAAATTTCAAAAGATGAACGAATGCGTGAAAGCCAGCCGAATCATTCCCAATTTGAGACAGGTTGTCTCCAAAAGGAATTCAATTTGGAGTATTTGCTATAGTTCTAGGATTTGTTCGGGGACTTTATATTTTACATTCCACCTTTAGTTCGGAATACGCGTCTCCTCATAAGTTCCCTTGCGAGGCGCGGGTACCCAAAATTCAAAAGATGAAGGAATGCGCGAAATCAGCCCAACCATCCAAAACTTGAGACCGGTTTTCACAGGAACGACTCAATAGACCGATCTTACGAGGAGTTGCGCGACGCCACCGCTGCCGCGGTGCATTCTGGTGCCTGCAGTTCTCCCCAGTTTTCCGGCTGCGTCGCCGCGCACTGTACGCCCGGCGTTTGGAAATTTCCGGGTTAGCACGAGACTTTTAGCCAGGTGTTGACTCATTGCTTTCAATCGGTGGCTTCACTTGTTGTATGCCACGGAGCTATAATAACAGCATCATTCCAAAAGGCCTCGGATATTATATCTTCCCGCAAGACAGAAGCATGGCAAAGAAAGGTCGGTAGAGCCGGACAGAGTGGCAGGAAAAATAGCGTTTTACGATTTGTTTCGCGATTTGCTTCATAATTTATATCCAATTATTGCACGTCAGCTAAAATATGTAAGATTGCAGGGCACGAGACATAGAGCGTGTCGAAGTGTCCCGTAACCTGAAATCTGACCATTTGCTCCGTAGCGGCCTATTCGTTGGTCTATCTCAAATAGGACCTCCGCACTGCTTTGCGGAGGCCGTTTTTAAGACACTTCTTACTCGGTGTATTTTGGTGGTTATAACTGCTATTGCGACGACATGTTTCAAGCACAACTGTACTTGGAAAGACCAGGACAATCACTAATAAACAGCAGCGATTCCCGATATGCACCACTTGATATAAAACAACTTTTTTCAAAAGCAGCCTTCATTTTCTTTTTCATAAAAACGCGAAAAGATTACATAATGCAGTTTAGAAGTGCAACACGTACTTACCGCCAAAAATGTAACGAACGAACATCATCCATTTTGTGGTGGTCTATTAGGCTGGTGTTACTGATCCATTCTGCACTAGCACCAGTCGAGACCGCAGAAAAAAGCTTCCCCTGTCGGACGACTGTTAGCGTTCGGATCTTGCGCAAACAAAATAAAACTGAATATAAACTGTGCACGAAAAATCATCTCCACCCCAAGCTTTCAGGTATCTGGTATGGTTGCTTCTTTTTGATAGATGCCAATTATTACGGCGCGTCAGGCATGGCCTTTTTGTAGATCAGTTCTTTGTGTGCAGGCTTCTCCCGCTGTTCATCTCTACTCTGTCGCACAGGCTGTCAACCAGAATGAGAAAACTTTTAGAAAACTATCGCTGACCGAGAAAGTCTATTTAGCTCCTCTTACTTGATGGCTGATTAAACGTTATGCACAAGACTGAGCACCACCAAGCACAGTTTTTCATCACATTTGATGCTGTTCCGTGGTGCTACACCGACCCGATGGTCCCTCGAATTTTCTTGTCCTTTGCTATTGCACTAGATGTTCACTTGTTTGCAAGGTAATCGAGACGTCCGAGGAGTCGGAATGCTCGAGTAGTGGCGCCGTTGTTTTTTTGTTTTGTTTTTTCCACGGCCGCAGTGGAATTACCCTCTGAACGGCAGTGGGCTCAAGCGTTCACGAAGACGAAGAAGCAGACGACGACGAAGCAGACGACAAAGCGATTCTAAAGCGATAAGAGGACTGAAACTGCTTTTCTGCACTTGGTGAGGAAAGTAAGGCATCACAAACAACACAATCTTATGAAGTAAAAACATGCAAGAGAATCAAGGTCATACCGGGGCGTGCCAAACGATAATCTATGATGTAAGTACAGTCGGGAGCAAAAGTTTGCGGGGCACGGCAGCGCGTGCCGAAATGCATCGCCGCGCCGTGCAACGGCGCCCCGCCGCATTAAAAAGCCGCGCTTTGCGCATGCGCGCCCTTCGTGCTGGCAGTCATGTCTCTTTCGCTCGTTTCTGTCCGACTCATTCCTGATTACCGGAGTCGGCGCCAAGGGCGCAAGTTGCCGTTTCGCTGACTGTCATGCCTCGAGTCCTCTTCAGCTACCTCATCAGCCACGCTGGGTGACAAAGCGCCTGGTTATCCCACCCCGCGTGCTCCGTCACAAATCGCGGCGGCCGAGGCAGCTGAAGCAGACGCGCAGCATGACAGCCAGCGAAGCGCTAACTCGCGCCCCTGGCGCCGACTTTTGTTATCAGGAGTGCGCCGGAAAGAAACGAGCGAAAGTGACATGATGGCGAGCCCGAAAGGCGCGCATGCGCAAAGCGCGGCTCCTTAATGCGGCGGCGCGCCGTCGGACGGCGCGGCGATGCCGTTCGGCACGCGCTCCCGTGCCTCGCAAACTTTTGCTCCCGACTGTACGTACGCGCAGCCGTATATAGCCGGGAAGGCGGGAAGGGATGACTTCAAGTAGCGTGGCGGCGGCACCACTTCCGGAAAGCGCGCGCCTGCGCAGTTCGCTTGGTGACATCGATCTATTGGTAGTATTTGCCATAGTACCGGAATAAGCTCGAGGTCTCTATATTTTATATTCCTTCTTTAGTTGGGAGCTGGGTTGTACTCAAAAGTTTCGCTGGCGGGCGCCTGTACCCACATTGAAAAAGATGAACCAATGTGTAAGAACTGACGAACCATCCCCACTTGCGACTATGCTACTCGCTATGCGTTGATTTTTTTTTATGATTTGGCAAATTGGACGAGGATGAGGGAATTATCATCCGCGTTCTCCTCACCGCCAGCCTTGTGCCTTTTGCACGAGTGGTAACTTTAGCGCACCACGGCGTTTTCCATGTGTTGCGATTCTTTATGAATTTACTGACTTAGTGGCTTTTCGATGACGGTCAGCACGTTTCTAATTTGAGCAATATCTTTCTTTTTACTAATTAAAACTATTCAACAAATTTTAGTTCATCATTCAAATTATCGTGAGAATTAACCCTATCTGTAATGTCCCGTCGCTGTATAACTTACGTGATTATGCTGCATTAGTGTAGCCTTATTGACTTTTTAAGAACGACGTGAAAAGCCTAAAATAAACAATCTGCATACATCATATAAATGTAATTATTTTAATAATGTTGTAAATTCGGTCATGATGTAAATGCCGTATAAGCGATAGTTTTTATGCTTCGTATCAGCTTAATTCCAGACGCACCCGACGCCACAAACTAACGGGACCACCCACGCAACGTCAAAAGCGCAAGTCATTTAGCCTTTTGTTTTTGTTGATGGTTGGTTA